CGCTGCCTTCGCACATGCGTGCACACGCCTCTTCCCGGCGCCTGTGCGCCCACGGGCACGCCTTTTCCCTGTGCGTGCACGCGGGCGCGTGCCCTTCCTTGGCACGTGTGCGCGCGCGCGCCCCTCCCCTGCGTGCGTGCACACGCTTCCCTGGCGTGCCTGCACACGCGTGCATGGCTTTCGCTCATGCACACACGTGTATGCATGCACATGCGCACGGCCTTCCCCTCTGTGCGTGTGCACATGTTCACACCTTTCCGTGGCACGCGTGCACACGTGCATGCTCTTCCCTGGTACTAGTGCACATACGTGCACGCCCTTCCTCTGTGTGTGCACACATGTGTGCGCCCTTCCCTAGCACGTGTGCACATACGTGCACACCCTTCCTTGACGTGCATGCACACACATATGCACGCCTTTCCCTTGTGCACGCACACACGTGTGCATGCCCTTCCCTGGCGTGTGTGCACGTATGTGTATGTGCTTTCCTGTGCACACCCTTCCCTGGCACGCGTACACGTATGCGTATGAGCTTTCCTGGCGTGCATACACACACGTATACATCCTTCCCCTGCATGTGTGCGCACGCGTGCATGCCCTTCCCTGGCGTGCGTGCATGTATGTGTGTGTGCTTTCCTGGTGTGCATACACACACGTATACATCCTTCCCCTGCATGTGTGCACACGTGTGCATGCCCTTCCCCTGCATGTGTGCACGTGTGTGCACACCCTTCCCTGGCGTGCGTGCACGTATGTATGTGCGCTTTCCTGGCATGCATACACACACACATACATCCTGTGCACACGTGTGCATGCCCTTCCCCGGCATGTGTGCACGTATACACGTATACATCCTTCCCCTGCATGTGTGCACACGTGTGCATGCCCTTCCCCTGCATGTGTGCACGTGTGTGCACACCCTTCCCTGGCGTGCGTGCACGTATGTATGTGCGCTTTCCTGGCATGCATACACACACACATACATCCTGTGCACACGTGTGCATGCCCTTCCCCGGCATGTGTGCACGTATGTGCACACCCTTCCCTGGCGTGCGTGCACGTATGTATGTGCGCTTTCCTGGCATGCATACACACACACATACATCCTGTGCACACGTGTGCACACCCTTCCCCTGCATGTGTGCACAAAGCGCGCACGCGTGCGCATGCCCTTCCCTGGCGTGCGTGCACGTATGTGTGTGCGCTTTCCTGGTGTGCATACACACACGTGTACATTCTTCCCTGGCCTGTGTGCACACGTGTGCACACCCTTCCCCTGCATGTGTGCACACCTTTCCCCGGCGTGTGCGCACATACGTGTATGTGCTTTCCTGGCGTGCATACACACACGTATACATCCTTCTCCGGTGAGCACGCACGCGTGTGCACGCCCTTCCCTGGCGCGCGTGCACACGCGTGCGCATCCTTCCTGGCACGCGTGTGCGCAGCCCTTCCCCTGCCTTTGCAGCCCCCCTGCCCCTTTTCCGAGCAGCCCCTCTGCCCCCGGCAGGTCCCACGGCCCCGACGCCAAGATGCTGGAGCAGGGGCGGGGGCAGCCCCGCGCGCCGCTGACGCTGAGCCACATGCTGCAGATCGCCACGCAGATCGCCTCCGGCATGGTCTACCTCGCCTCCCTCCACTTCGTTCACCGGGACCTGGCCACCCGCAACTGCCTGGTGGGCCACGACCTGGTGGTGAAGATCGGGGATTTCGGCATGTCCCGGGACATCTACAGCACCGACTATTACCGGGTGAGCGGGCTGGGGAGCTGCCCCCTCCCTCCCCGCCAGCTCCGC